GTCCTCCAACAACCACACGTCTATCCTTTTTGGGTTTGTGTAAAGTTGATAACTTTGCAAAAATATTGCTCTTCCTAGAAGTACTTGCATACTACGTTTGGGATAAAAGAAAGTTCCAAAGGAGCAAGAGAGGAGCAAACGTTGAAGGATGGCCGGGGGCAAAAAAGAGCACGTTCTGGGCAGGGTTTATACTGTGCATCCGAACAATACAGAATGCCTTTACATGCTTCTTCATGAGATCCGGAGCTCAATTTTGTATGAAACGTTAAAAATGTAGACGGTCATGTATATTCCACGTTCCAATCAGCGTGCAAAGCTTTCGGCTTGCTTGAAGATGATCAGCAATTGTTCGCAGATGATCGCAATGGAAGAGGCAGCACTTTGCCAATCACCGCAAATGATTCGGGATCTTTTTACGATTATTTTAGTGTTCTGCCAAGTATCAGACCCTTTAAGCCTTTGGGAGAAATTCAAAGAATATATGAAGATTTAAAAAGGCAATTAGAAAGACAGGGAGATGTGGATGTAGAGCACATAACAGATGTGGTATTTAACAAATGCCTTTCGGTAATAGAAGATGCCGTATCAGCGTTTGGTGGTCGACTACTAAAAGAGTATGGGTTAACTCAGCCAAGCAAAGAACAACAATTTGAAAGTAGAGAGTTTCTTAAAGAGACAAGTTACGACTTAGCATAATTAGAAAACATAATTAATAATAATAAAGGATCACTGAATGACAAAAAAAAAGCAGTTTGCAATCAAATTAACACAAAAATTGAAACAAATTAGGGTGGTATATTCTTTTTGGTTGCTGCCGGTGGAGCAGGCAAAATATTCCTCATAAATTTGCTATTAGTAAAAGTTTGAAGTAATCACGGAATTGCTTTGGCTGTGGCTTCTTCTGGGATCCCAGCTACGCTGCTTGAGAGTGGACGAACTGCTTATGCTACCTTCAAGTTCGTACTCAATTTAACAACAGCTCATACTCCCATTTCTAATATATCGAAACAAAGTAATTTTGCTGAAGTATTAAAACATACGAAATGATAGTGTGGGATCAAATAACCACGGTTCGTAAAGGTGGCGTAGAGGCTTTAAACAGAACTCTACAAGATATAAGAGGAAATAAGAAGTTAATGGGTGATGTAATGGTTTTGCTGGCTGGAGATTTTAGACAGACTCTACCAGTATTGCCAAAAGGAACTAGAGCGGATGAAGTTAAGGAGTGTCTTAAGAGATCCACTTTATGGCCTCTAATTAAAATTCTCAAGCTCTCAAAAAACATGCGGATTCACTAGTCTGCTGGTGGATTTGCTAATCTCCTACTTGAAATCGGCAACGATGATTACCCGATAAATGACGGAATGATTACCATCCCTGATAATTTGTGCACAGTTGTACTTACGTTACAGGAGTTAATATCCAAAATTTACCCAGATATTGCTCATATCGACGATAAGCCAATGGAATGATTGTGTGAACCTGTCATACTAACCCCGAAAAGCGACCTAGCAGCGGCAATTAACGATATACTTTTAACGCCTTTTGAGGGGGAAGAAATGGGGTACACGTCAATAGACTCCGTGGTCAACACAGATGACGCAATTAACTACCCTGTAAAATTTCTTAATTCACTAAAACCGTCAGGTGTTCCACATCATAAGCTTATTCTGCGCGTGGGCACTCCTGTTATGTTGTTGCGAAATTTAAAACCTCCTTAACTGTGCAACGGAACCAGACCATAAGCAAAAGCTTTACATCGTAATGTAGTGGAAGCCACAATTATAACTGGATGTGCGCAAGTGGAAACTGTATTTGCACCAAGAATTCCCCTGATCCCGAATGATAAATACAGTTTCCCCTCAAAGACTGCTTTGCAATGACCATAAATAAATCACAAGGGCAGACATTTAAATTTGCGGGTATAGACTTGAGAGAAAATTGTTTTTCACACGGGCAATTCTATGTACGCCTAGTAGTATGATAATTTTGGCACACAGTAACAGATTAGCAAAAAAATGTGGTGTATAAAGAAGTTTTGTAGTTTACTAGCTTTTGCCCGCAGCACAGTGGCGGACTTACCAGCAGGTTGAGTAGGCTGGCCTAGGGCGGCAGATTTTTGGTGCGGCAAATTTGAGGCAAAAAATGTTTTTATGTCTGACGGAAATTAAGGAGAATTAAATTTTATACCGATAGATCAAGAAATATTTACTGCCAGTATGTATATCGGACATGAAAACATTTTTTAATTCCTTGCTCCACCCACTCTTTAAATTCAGTGACAACTGTGGCTGCTGAATGTTGCACAGAAGCCTGTCGTTTCTTCATGTTGCTTCATGAAATTTTTATACAAGTTCGACACAATGCTAGCAAAAATAATGATTGAAATAGAGAAAGCGAAAACGCTAATGAGATTAAATCTGACATCTGACACCTTAGTTAGCTGGAGAGGACGCATGTAAGTTTAGAGATTCTTAGTACGAAGGCCCGTAACGCGACGGGAATACATGCATTTAAATTTATAAAAACTGAAAATGGTGGTAATGGTTGTTGTGTGGTACTTTTTTTTTTGCAAAGTATAAACAAAGTGAACGTTTCAATTCAGGTACCGTACCTGAATTGAAACATTCACTTTGTTACACTACCGTAAATTTGATCAAAGTTGTCGATTTTTACGAATCTTTTTATAAGTTATTCGTAGCTGAACGAGAAAATTTTAAGTATTTCGAAAAAGAGGCGCTTGAATTAAGCGTGTTGAAGCAGTATACAAAAACATGAGAAAAAGACGTCTGAAAAGAAAAAAGAGAAATCAAACACCCAATGAAGAAATGAGAATAACTACTAGTTATATTTTCAGGGTTGACATATTTCTTTTCCTCATTGATACACTCGTATCCGAATTAGAAAAACGGCAGCACGCCTACAACAGATTAAATGAACTTTTCATTTTAGAGGAAAATAAGTAATTTGTTATCATTAACTAGTATGGAAAAAGCCCTTTTTTTGAAAGAAATGTATTCTCATGGTTTAAACTTTAGAGACTGATTTAGTTCAAGAATGCATACATTTTCAAATGTAATGTAAAATTGAATACATTGTTTTCAAAGTGAAAGCGCAATAAAAATTATTTAATTACGTTTACCGAATGTAAGTAGCATTAAATCATACCTTACCCCGCCTTATTAGTAGTACGTGATTGATCTTTTATTAGCTAACTAAATCCTTGGATTGTAAAAATAAACTTGGAACTGACACGTCGAACTACTAGTCCACAATCATACTTATTAAGGCAAAAAGGTGGTGTAATTAGGACTACAGTGCACAAGTCATAAAGTTACAATTTTATTGACAAAAAAAATGTAATACATATGATTGTGAACTAGGGTATTGGGTTGTAGAAGTCTACAAGGGCGGCAAAATTTTAATAGCCTACTGACGGCGATTGTGTAAATCCGCCACTGCCGCGACATTTAGTTATAATCACAGTCCATAAATCCATACAGTCGTCCGACGAAGACGTCTAGACGGGGCAATATGCGGGGTGAGACGCGGGAAGGACGAGCCCGATCTGCTTATCAGAGTTTCCACTTACAATTTTGGTTTGTCCCTATTTTTTTTAGGATTTATCCCTAAAATTCCCTAAACGATCTTAAAAATTCCTATTTTTAAGGAGCATATTTTTATTCGAGAAATTATACAATAATTTATTATTTTGAATATTTATTAATAAATCAACAAAAGATCAATCACCAAAAACCAGATCAGACAGAAGATTTAGAAGCTGAATCATTACTTTTGTAATATTTTGCTGCACTTATCATGGCACTGTTGGGTTCTAAAATTGAGCAATTGTTTGCTTGCATTCCGAACTTTGTGTGAAACAAGCCGTTCAGAGTTTCGTTAGAAAGTCTATTTCTTTTATCTGTTTTTACATTTTTTAGAATACTAAATAATCTTTCTACCTCAGTATTTGAAGATGGAACTGCTAGTAAAACTGAAATAACTACTTCAGGATTTTCGTAAATGAAATTACCATGATAATCTTTCATGCTTAGAACCTTATTCCAATAAATGTCAGCTGGCATGTTTTTTTAATTCTTCTTCGCTTTCAACTCCAAAATGCTTTAAGTCTATAAGAGCTTGATTTCTCCATTCGTTATCTGCTTTTTGCATGTTGCATTTTGTCGTTAAAAAGTTAAATTTATCAAAAACATCTTTCACTGATTGTTTCTCCAGATTTCTTGCTATTTTTGGATCCACATACTTCAATATGTCGAAAAGTTTCTCATTCAAGTCGAACCGCTTTTGGATTTGCAATACTATTTCCACATAAAATTCACGACAACTAGCATAAAATTTGTTCACTTCTTCTATTGGGGCTTTTGTCTTTAAATCTTCAAGTATCGCATGTGCTTCCATACCAACGTATATATGATCATTATTGAGGTGAATTTCTGTTTTAGTGACGTCAATTTGCTTAAGGCTCTTTAGATCCGAGCTCAGATTCAGGTGCTCCTTTTTGACAAAGTTGCACAAAAAAGTGTTCAACATTTTCCGAACCATCACTGGCAGTATAAATAATTGTGGTGATTTTGTTTGAAAAAATGTATTAAAATCGTTAGTTATAGAGAAGACGTAACTCATGAAGTGTAATAAAGCTTTATTAAATGGGTTGTAACTGTTTGAGTGCTTCTGTTCGCTTAGGGCTCATATGAAAATATGCAGGTATATTACGGCACAAATCTTCTAAATTTTTAGGTAGTTTACGGGAGGCATATGATGTGGCGAGATGTATTAAATGGCATGAGCACTCTATAACGACCAGATGTGGAATTTCGGTTTTTAGTAAAGCCTGAACTGACTTGTGCTTCCCCATCATTACGTTCGTCGTATCTGATGTAAGTCCGAAGACATGATCAAGAGGTACTTCATGTTTTGAAAAACTTCCTTTTATTGTTTGGAGGATACCTTTTGCCGTTCCATCAATCATATCTATCAAATCAAAAAATCTGTATTCTACTTTTTTTTGTCAAACTATTAAAAAATGTTATAATAATAGCCAACTGTTTTTTCACAGACAGATCTGTTGTTTCATCTATTATTATATTAAAATAGCTATTCTTCATGATATCAATCACTTCTTGTTTATATGTCGCTCCTGTGACTTGACGTAAAATATTTGTTGCTTTTTGTTTTCCTAGATGCACGTCATCTAAACATTTCGATTCCGGAAACAAGTTTCGCAACAGCGATACAAAATCATCGACTAAAGAAATTGGTAGATCATGTTTCGCAAGAAAGCCGCACATTTTTAATTCCATTTTTAATACATTAGTAGCGTGCGTCTGATTTTTGTTCAAAAAAGTTGACATTCTTCCACATTGCGAAATAACAGCCATCTTTTTGGTGTGTTTAGCACTGTTTTTATGTTTAAGTAATTCGGACATTCCACATACAAGATCACAATCGCATATTTTACAGTAAGCTTTTGTCTCACCTTTATCAGATTTCTTCAGCCAAGTCTTAAAATCAGGATGCTCCAGCCAAGAAGTTTTAAATTTTTGCACGTATTTTCTTTCCTTACTTGCTGACTTTAAAGTCGAAGAGGATGGTGTTTCATTATCTTCTTCCATTTTAAATTACTTACAATTTAATCGAAAAGAAAAATTTTTTTTTTAATATTCCAAGGTGCAATTCGGAGTTCAGTATGTAAATGAAACAAAACCAATCAAATCAAGCAAGCCTTGGTAGGTATACATAATATGACTAAGTTCCGACTACATCTAAAACAACGGAACTGATATTATAAATGACAAATTAAAATTGGACGGATTACATTCATTAATAGTACGGGGGGATTCCCCTTTCAAAAATAAACCGCGGGCGGTGGCACCATAGAGTTTGTACATACTACAACAGGGTTACCATCATAAGTTTTGATTTTCCCCGAATTTCCCTAAATCCCTGTCTTATTAAAATAATCCCTAGTCATGTACAATTTCACTTAGTTTTCCCTAAAAAAGGGAAAAATCCCTAAAAGTGGAAACACTGCTGCTTATGCCAATCGTATTAGTAGCTCGGGACACGACTTCTAGGGTTAACGCGCGCTTGCTTTTATAATTTTTAAATTTAAAATGGTTCATACGACGTGTGCTGTGAGAGATTGCAAGTCGTCATCTCGCATAAATAAAGATCTGCGATTTCACCAAATTCCGCACACCGAAGAAAGGTAAATAAATATTGTTATTATTTTTTACATTATGTATATTTTGTCATGTCATGCCAAATAGCCAACGTAAAAAGAAATGGCGGACGTAAAAAATAGGTACTATATAGTCGCTGGGCATTACTGATTTTTCTTCATCTAAATCGTGTGGTTGGACAGGCTAAGGTTTTAGACCATACTATAGTGCCTCGTCTTCGGTCTTTCGAATTTTTTTTTATAAATTATTAAGATTTAGGGGTAAATTTTTAAATTTGTCGGTGTGCTAATTACGAAAATAGCATTTATTTTTAAATCCAAGATGGCGGTAATTTTTTTTATTTATGTAGGATATGGATGTCAATTTCAAGGTTTATTGGGGTGATGCTTACGAAAACGCCATCCATTTTTATATCCAAGATGGCGGACATTTTTTGAATAATATGATATGAGTATCAATTTCGAGGTTCTTGGAGTGCTTATTACGAAACCGGCATCCATTTTCATATCCAAGATGGCGGACTTTTTTTAATAATATGATATGGGTATCAATTTCGGGGTTTCTTGGGGTGCTTATTACGAAACTGGCATCCATTTTCATATCCAAGATGGCGGATTTTTTTTAATAATATGATATGGGTATCAATTTCGGGGTTTCCTGGGGTGCTTATTACGAAACTGGCATCCATTTTCATATACAAGATGACGGACATTTTTTAATGATATGATATGGGTATCAATTTCGAGGTTTCTTGGGGTGCTGATAACGAAAATGGAATTTATTTTTAAATCCAAGATGGTGGACATCATTTTTTTAATAATATGATATGGGTATCAATTTCGGGATTTCTTGGGGTGCTTATTACGAAACTAGCATCCATTTTCATATCCAAGATGGCGGACATTTTTTTAATAATATGATATGGGTATCAATTTCGAGATTTCTTGGGGTGCTAATAACGAAAATGGAATTTATTTTTAAATCCAAGATGGTGGACATCATTTTTTTAATGTTAGGGATGTCAATTTTGAGGTTTGTGGGTGATAATTATGAAAATTGGGCTAGTATGCTGTCAAAATCTTCGGTACAATTTGTAGCGTCGGTAAATTTAGAATTTGATAGAAATATTTTTCGGAATGCTCTGGTGTATTGTATAAAGAGGGACAATTTCCGCAGTACGAGTATTGTATTTAAAAATTTTAGATGCAAATTATGGCTGGAAGTTATTAGAAGACTTGATTTAGTAGGAAAACCTTTCGAAAGCCTTAAGAATACGTACATTTACAGTTTGCATTTCGAAAAGAGTATGTACGGGAAGAAATCGCTGAAGAAAACATCTATACCAACGTTATTTTTACCAACCAACAACTCGATCCATACACAGACTGAGCCTAAAGTCGAAACTTTAAGTGATGTAAAATTGGAACTCTCCGATAAGCGCCATATTGTAATACCAAAAATAGCTCGAAGAGACTAATGAATTAGCAGGTCCTTCATCACAAAATTCAGAACACACCAACACTGAGCAATATATAGGTATAGATTATAGTTCTCAGACACCAGCAAGATTGACTGACTTTACTCCCCGAAAAAGTAAACTTAGAAAACAATTGTTTAAAATAAGTAAAAAGTTAAAATGCACTGCTAAAAATATGAGGATATTACCGCAGAACAGTTTTTGAACGGTTGTGATAAATTTTTATCCCTAAAGTTAAGCGCGATTGTAAAGGCGCAAATTTATTTAAAACCCCATTGTAAAAACAATAGATATAGCAGAGAATTCAAATTGTTTTGCTTAATGTATTACACGAGCCCTCTCGCTTATCGATTTTTATCGAAGACCATTTGTTTACCGTCTAAATCAACTTTAGCTAAGATGTACCTACCTATGCAAACTAAACTTAACCAGCAAATGTGGGATGTTTTATCGGCTACTATCAAGCATATGTCATCATCCGAAAAAGAATGTGTGCTTTGTATGGATGAGATGAGTCTGAAATTAAACTTATCCTTTAACAGCAAGGAAGATAAAATATTGGGACTCCATGAAGTAGATGGGCAACAGCAACCTGTTGCCGCAGGGTATGCTACCTTAATGCTTCGAAGTATAACATCAAAATGGAAACAACCTATTGGCTTTTCTTTTATTTCCAGCAGTAAAATTGATGATCAATTAAAAACATGGATAATTGCTACTGTGAAACGTCTTTTAGAGCTTGGCTTTAATATATGAGCTTTCGTGTCAGATCTAGGATCAGATTTTTTGGCATTTTGAAAAACATTAAGGATCTCTAAAGAAAACTCATGTTTTGAGATTGATGGTAATTTTGAGTTTGATGGCAAAACTACTCGGTGGGAGGACATAACAAACATGTATGAACTAGATAAAATGAAAGATATGCGATCAGCTCCTCATTTAACTGATTCACATTTACAGCCGAATAGTTTCCAAAAACAAAAAGTTCGTTTTGTCGTTCAAGTTTTTAGCAATTCTGTAGTAGCAGCTTTAAAAAATTATCAATCATCGGGTACTCTACAAGTTGCTGATGGTACGATATTTTTTATTGAAATCATGAATAACCTCTTTGATTTACTGAATTCAAGCAACATCGACTCACCAAAAGTCTACAGTAAACCGTATAGGGGTACTACTCTCCAAGAGGAATTGCTAGATAAATCACAGCGTATGTTTAATAGCATGAGAGTTAAAAATAAAAAGAATGGAATTAAAAATAAAAATATCATAAAATTTATAAATGCTTTCAACATAACAATAAACTCACTTCGGCAATTATATAAAGATATGAAGTCTGGGGGATATGATTACTTACTCACACGAAGAATTAACAATGATTACTTAGAAAATTTTTTTGGGCTCGTGAGGCAAGCTGGCGGAAATTGTCGGGAACCCTCTTGTATACAATACACCAGGGCATTCCGAAAAATATTTCTATGCCAAATTCTAAATTTACCAGACGCTACAAATTGTACCGAAGATTTTGACAGCATACTAGCCCAATTTGTAGAATATGCCAAAAATACACCTCAAACTCAAGTTTCTATCCAGGATCCACCTCAAATACAACCCAAAGAGAATTTTACAAAGATGTACAGATCATTCCAGAAAAAAATGCATTCCACTATATCTGCGGTTATTTATTGCGAAGGTGTGTTGAAAGTCACAAGCGTGACTGCCTATCGGTAATTAGTTACGCATCATCATATGACGATGAATCAAATGAGAGAAATTTATACATCCGTCTGAGAGCTTATGATACTAGTCGTGATCGCTTCGGAGGACTACAAGTCCCTCCAGATGATTTTGTGGATTACGTACATAGCTTGGAAACAGAATTTGTCGATTTTTATTTTTACTGGAAACATTGGGTTCAAATTGTTTGAGCATTTGAGAATAATAGAGTTCAACACCAAACCTGCTTGCTTGCTGCATGCTTCCCAATAAATTATTTGTTAAAATTATTTATTAGGATGAGAATTTTTTATATAATTAAGTTCAGTAATAGAAATTTCAAATCCAGTAAATCTAAAAACCGAAAATATTTGTCAGTTGCCAATTTATAATTCCTGATTTAGAAATGAATTAGTTATTATATCCTTATAGTTTTTTTTTATCGATTATATAGTAACAAAACAGGTGTCCATATAGTTATAGCAGTAGTAAATATTTAAATTCCAATCATTTTATTCGTGAGGCAGCTACTTATGCAGCCCCACTCCCCCCTCGCTATCGAGTCCGCAGGCCGAGAAACTCTCTCTCGGATATACTCCGCCAATAAAATTTCAACCGACCTGAACTGCCTCCTGGCGGTTCAGGCCGATTCTTCTTAAATTTTGCCTAAGTAGGCTTTCCCTCAGCGGCTCGTAGCCGCCTGCGCCCTCTTCTCCCAAAAGAGGGTCGCTTCCGATCCGGCAAAGAGGCATAATTCGCCAATTGCCAGTCCCACAGGTGGTGTTTAGTGCGTACATTTAGGGTAGTGGTTAGGTTAGGGTTTAGTCACAGTGAGTCCCACATAACCACGACAGACCGGCTGTCGTGGTTTGCATAAAGCATTCACCACCTCCTCGCGTATGCGAAACTGAGGTATGGCCACATATTGAGAGTAGAGCACTCCCTCACGTTGTGAGGCGTGCAATTAGCGTTTTGAGTACTTTCAGGAAAAATGTAAGAACAAATTATTACTTATTCTTTATATTAGTAATCATATTGTTGATCACGATGTAGATCTAAAATAAATAATGAAATTATTAAAAGTTGTTAATTTGTGACAACCCTAACCTCCATACGCTGTCTAGACGTTGTCGGCATTTACCACGAGATCAAAGGCGTCGTCCTACTGTATGTTTTTATTATACTGTGTTATAATTGTGGCTTATACCAACAGACTCTTTTTCAACATGGGTACTATATA